CTTTAATATATTGATGCAAACTGTTGCATTAATTTTTTTGTTTGGTCTAAACAATTTTTTTAGAGTGCAAGGATGATGGAAATGCAACTATCGGTTATTATAGATTTAAAAAAAATTCTCTGAACTTAATGTACTCACCCTCAGGTCATTTAAAATAGACATGGCTTGTTTTCTTTAGTAGAATATTAAAGAATTTTAGCTGACACTGTGGTTCTCAGTCATTCATAAACTTCAAGTGAATGGCTACCAGCAGCTGGAGAGAAACAGGCGAAACTATTTATTAAAGCTGAGGTCTTATGAAGGCAAATGATCAGTCTATTAATTGACTGATCTATTACATTATTACCTTTAATCCACAGCCTCTGCAAATGTTCCTCAGCATGGACTTTGGTACAGTAAATAACCAGAAATGTTTCATTTTTGGGCAAACATTTCCTTTAAATTAACACAGGACAGAACATTTGTCCACCAAATGATGCCAAAACATACAAACAAATGTTGCTTTGCACTCCAGAGGGAAGTAGAATAATTCTAACGCTAATTTTAGTGATACAACAAGCAATCATCTGCAATATCTGTGAAGAGTAATTACCATGCAAGTCCAAACAGATAAGGATGCATTCAATCAAAAATGTGCATCAATGCCGACATGTCAAGAACAACAGATTAAAAAGGGCTCATCAATAATCCCTGAGATACGCTCACACAATTTGCACATGCCGACCTCTCCGGCACACGTCTGGCGCATTAATCAGCTAAAGTGTGTGAACGGTGATTAAAGGGCCACTTCCATACCATGCAAAAGAATAAGCAGAGCGCATTCATTAATGCTGACAGTCACTGAAAGCATCTGTTCACTCGCTGACTTTAAAAGACCGACAATAACCTGCGAGAAAAAAAAAGTTCCTTGAGGAAGAATAAAAGAAGTTAATTTCACTGGAAATCTATTGTCTGCACATTTGTCAGTTTAAAGCATTCAGGCAAAGCCCACTAGTGTGTTTTTTTAGTGAGAAATCACACACTCTTTTGCACAGAGACTGGATAGTGTGGATTAGTTTTGGATTTGCATACATATTAAGAAATAGGAGCAGTCCATCTAAAGCGTCTACACTCTTGTCAGAGAAATTAGCATGATAACACCTACAGTAATGGCTTCTTGTAAATTGACAGAGCTGTGTTCACCTTTTAGAAAAGGTCACAACATCACACATCTTCACAGTGCTGACAGAACCAAAGTTTACACTCATAGATCAAGGCTTCATAATGATTTATTGTCGAGTGAGTATACAGTTCAGTATAGGCCCAACAGAAGCACATCCACTGAAATAGACCAACCGACTGGACCAAATATACCACAATAATATGCATGTTGTCAAGAGGCTTCTCGTCGGAGACCACCGACACAGTTGTGCATTGAATATATATATTTTACAATTTTTAAAATACTTTTTCACATACCGTCTGAGAATATAGATATCCGGACAAATAAATATACAAGGACTGAAAACAACTTCATATATCATTGACAATTCAGCAAACAAAGAATGAAAAAAATCTGGCTATAAAATCTCCACAAATTACAGGCTCAGTTTGGACTATATCAGAGGATCAAAAGGCCACCAGCACGATCTTTGAATGAAAAATATGTACAATAAATACAAAAACGCTTGCATATACATAACGCACACACAGACCCAAAATACTTTTCACACAGTCTCTATGATAATACAAAGATTTACAGGCAGATATACAAGAAAATAAAATTACATAATAAATATTTTTTGCTGTGAAATTGCAATTTTCAATAGACAGCCTCATACAAAATACCAAAAAATCTGTAACTAGAATAAGAAATTGTACATTACAAGAACTAACAACTATGGACACACATCATAGTGACCTGACAGAGTAGTTTATTTACATGAATTTATTGTAACATCAAGGTTTTCCTTAAGTAACGTATAAAATACTAATATAGTATGTTTTTCAACAAGACCATCATACTCCTAGAGATGGATTTACATGTAAACAATATTAACGTGTGTTTGCACAAGTTGTCGTACCAATAGAAACTGATTAATGTGACACGTCGACATCTTGACAACCACAGTCACTTTACAATGCAACTTTTGAAACGGTAATTTGGTCAGTTAAGGTAAACAACAAAATAAATTTTCTTAGTTACATTTTTTACATTTTGGTTTTCAGGGAAAATATTGAAACATTCTTACGATAAATTTACTTAATTTAGAGAGTATCCTAGTTATAAAAAATACTGAGTTGTCATAATTCAACATTGGATCCAATATGGACAAACCCAACCTTGAGTTAATTTTTTTAATGAAATTTAAATGACACATTTTAGCGCAAGTTTGTCCATATTCCACCCAACATTGGGTTATGACAACCCAACATTTTTTAAAGTGTTTATATTGAATTTATGCACTATTTTTGACAGTCTTTCATACACTGTGTTTAACTCATACAATAAATTTAGTGCACTGTTCAAATCTACTACCCTTTTGTTATGCTAGGGATGAAAACACCCACTGGATGAAACTACAGTAAAAATGCATCAGAATAATATTTAAAAACTGTTTTTGCATAAATCTGTTAATAAACCTCAGTCCTGATTAAAACTATGCAATTGTTTAGAAAATTACAGGATTTTAATTCTTTAATTGCCAAATTCATAAATGATGTCACTGCTTTGACGAAAAAGGGCACAAAATGGCATATTTTTAACATAAAAAGTAATTGTGGACTGGATTTTTTTAACATTTTGTCACAGTATTGGACATGTGATCGATTAGTAACAACATTTGCTGTGGTGGCTGTTTTTGCCCCATTGACTTCCATTATAACCACATTTGATGGTGCAGAAATACACAGTCTTTGTTTTTATTTACTCCGTGTGATTCCGAGAGCTGAAATGCATATTTTGATCTTCTCAACACACATCAAGGTAAGCGTAAAAGTCATTTTCACAGGCACACACACTGTACACACATATTAATTTTCTGTTATACTCTATATAAAATCTAGAAACTAAGCTTTTTTATATTATTATTATTATTATTATTTATTTATTTTTATTTTTTTGCAGAGGCCGCTCTAAAGGGTTAATGGTGCAAAGTGATGATCAGCAGTAAAATTACAAATTTTGCCTCTTGCCAACAGGGAAAACCACCAACAAACAAAAATGCATGATTATATGGTGTCCAGGTTTTGCATTCAAAAAATGTGGTTATAATAAAATTCAATTAGGCAAAATCAGCCACCAACAGTAAATTAAGAAAAAAACAATGAAAATGAATTTAAAAAAAAATTGCATTAATGGTAATGTTGTTTCACATGTCCAAAAAAATCCAGTCTAGAATTAGTTTTTATATTTAAAATACATAACTTTGATTGCTTTTTCCCCAAATCAATGATAAATTTGGCAATTAAAGAGTTAAAATCCTGAAATTTTCTAAACAATTTAGTAGTTTTGATCAGCACTGAGGTTAATTAACAGATTAATGCAAAAAAAGAATTTGAAAAAAATATTGATATGATGCATTTTCACAGAAGTAAATTCAGAGGATGTTTTCATCCCGAACATAACAAAAGGGTAGTAACTTTGCCCAGAGTTTTTCAAAGCGTTTTCTCAAAATGTGTCAAAATAAGATTTGTCATCAAAAATCATTCTGCTAGCTGAAACACAGAAAACATTATGGCCAAATCAAGGCAAAAAATCACTCCAGAGTGGATGAAATCATCCACAACAGTACGTAAGGGTTAATATATATATATTAATTTATTCATGTGACGACAACGCAGAATTTTCAGCTGCAGTTTCTTCAGTTTTTCCCACCTGGAATCATTCTAAAATACTGATCTGCTGATCAATAGGCAATAAAAAAAAATAAAGAAGGTTAATAATATGTAATATGGATGTTGAAAACAGGAGATATTTTCTGCTGCTTAATGCTTTGGGAACATTTTCTCTCAACTTTGATGAATAGAAAGTTTAAAATAACAGTTTATGGTTTTCTAAGTCTCTATTTTCATTTCTATTTTGAATTTAATTAATAATTGCCTAAAATTCTGCCTAATAAACATAACAAACACTATAATATTATTAGAAAAAGATGACTTATTTTGCTAATCCCTATTGCAGGTTTTATAAGTATATTATAAATTCAATATTTATTAAATTACTTCATTTATTAATTGCCAATTTGCTTATTTTTACCCAAATAAACTTTCAAACAAGGTGAATTCATCATGTTCAGAATGTTTAAATATTTATACCAGAAAGGCCAAAATATTAAGAAAACACTGCTGCAGTCAGCTATTGCCATGCTCCACTACACCAAACACAGTCAGTTTGCCTCAGTGCCACTTACTGTATATTTACAAGACGAGTGAGAAACAGGCACAAGAAGATTCAGCCATGGTTGTAAATATGCTTCAGCGGCGTTGAGTTCAGCAGCAGTGGCCATCGCTGTCAGACTCTGTTCTGGCTGAGAGGCTGAACGGACACAGAGGCGGCGAGAGTTCAGGCCAGGTCGCCACACTGCCACAAAAGGTTAATGTACAGTTTGCAAGTCCGTCTGGCCACAATCGGGCCATAGACAGCCGCCCAGAGAGCAGACAAATGCCTGCAATATTAAAACAGAGGGATTATTGCAAGAGTCAGCGCTGCCACCTGTCCGAGCAGCGGGACGCTCGCACTCCCTTCTTCCTCCGTATTGCTTAGGCGTGAGGAAATTTGATGTGTTCTCCGAGGATCTTATCAGATATCCTCTTTCTTCCTTGATGCCCGATGCCAGGAATCCTTCGCATAATGCTGAATAAATCCAGACGCTCCTTTCAAAGCATCACGGATGGATGAAACATGGATGAAATTGAATTTTAAAGCGAGACCGAGTTCTCTTGCTGCCAAATAAATACAAAATTGGACGGTCAGAGTTTGTGCATCAGATCCACTTCACTGAGGTGTTTTTTTTTTTTTTAAACAGCTCAGGTGGGATTTTTTTTCATCTTCTATGGTGTGATATCAGCAGAAGGAGTAAAGATGCTGCAGGGTTGAAAGAGAAAAGAAAATGTGAATTAGGAAACGCTTTGCACAGCAGTCACACTCCAAAGGGCGGCCGCATAAATATCTATTTCATTATGAAAATCATCAGAGAAAATTACAAACGGGTTCCCGAAGAGCCATGGACGGCATCTATCTCATCAAGCTAAAATTATTTGGCGAAAAGGGAAGAGCGCTGGAGTCGGGGCATGTCTGGGCACTCTATTTGCGGATCACCGGGCCCAGCAGAGAAGCCCCTCAGTTGCACATTTGCATTCAGATTTGCACGGCGTGATGGGAGATGAGGCGGCGTGAGGTTTGGGCTCTATTAATAATCCTCCAGCCTTTTCTGCAGTTGTGATTATGAATGAACCGGAGCTGGAGGAGGGGATTTAATGTTTAGAAGCATGTCAAGGTGCTGGTAGTGTCCCTAATCACTTTTTCCATATTTGAAGGGACCAAGCTGCTAAATCATTCACGGAGGGCGGAAAAACGATACAGTGGGAGTTTAGGACACACTGGGTCTGTGAATACAAATTCCGGGGTAAGAATTAAGCGGTGTGGGGATTGAATTAGGGAAGATTTTGTGACTGTGATGTGGTGAGAATATTAGATTTGTATTTATTTGATTTGTAATTGAATTCAAATATGAAGCACATACATGCTCCTACATGTATAATGTATAACATGCATACATGTTTCCACACAAGATCTCTTTGTCATGCATTAGAGACAAGAAGAAAACAACTTATTGACCTGTTTAGACTGTGAAGGTGCTTGTGGTGATTCGAATCACTCTAAAGAATTATATCTGTGGACATTTTTTTCTAGTTTGCATCCATCATGCTTTTTACATTTTAAACAAATAGAAACTTTGATTAAAATACACATTTAATATACTTGCTGATAAATACATGAGGTAAATGAGCATTCAACACATTACCCTTTTTATCAGAAAACATATTTCTAAAGGTGCCGTTGACTTGAAATTTTCACCAGATGTTGAAATTAATATATATATATATATATATATATATATATATATATACACAAATATATTAAAGATGCCTCTCATATGGAGAATGAAGTCATCTGCTCAGGTGTGATTTTCAACAAATTCTAAAATTTTTGATGGGTCTGTGGGTCTCGTCTATTCAAAATAATCTTTATTTTGTATTTTCTGTTTTTTTTTAATCTAAAAGCAATTTAGAGTTTCCTAGGCTGTGTTTTGGATCATTGTCTTGCTAAAATGTTCACTCTGGTTTTATCTTCATGGTAATGTAGATGTTGGACTGTAGCAGCTAATATTAATTTAGAATGAGAAAGTGAGGGTGGCTAAATAACTTCTGAGAGATTTCAGCTGCTGTCTGGGCCTTCATTTCTTCTTTACACCTTCCTTTCTTCATGTGTTCAATACGTTTCTATGTCCTTATATTTTATTACCCCTAACTTCATTTGTAAACTAGATAGATTTGTGTTCTTTTCATAGGGCGAGGCAGTGGCGCAGTAGGTAGTGCTGTCTCCTCACAGCACGAAGGTCGCTGGTTCGAACCTCGGCTCAGTTGACGTTTCTGTGTGGAGTTCGCATATTCTCCTTGCCTTCGTGTGGGTTTGCTCCGGTTTCCACCACAGTCCAAAGACATGCCGTACAGGTGAATTGGGTAGGCTAAATTGTCCGTAGTGTATGAATGTGTGTGTGGATGTTTCCCAGAGATGGAGATTGCTGGATAAGTTGGCGATTCATTCCGCTGTGGTGACCCCGGATTAATAAAGGGACTAAGTCGACAAGAAAATGAATAAATTAATAAATTCATATATGGATTTCTTTAGTTGATACCAACATCTGGTGAAAATTTCAAGTCAACAGCACCTTTAGAAATATGTTTTCTGAGGAAAATGATGACATGTTGAATACTTATTTCCCTTAAATGTAAATATGCTAAGATAAAATTACATTTTTATTACCTTATTATGGTATATGATTAATTATTTTTTATTATTTTAAAATAAATAAAGGAATAAAATATTACATGTATAACTCGATCCTTGATTATTATATCCTATTGTTATAATTATGAAAATTATTTGGTAATTTTAAAGGCTGTGTAAGTCAATGGTAACTATAGCAACAAATTCGTATTTTTGACCCAACTAATAATCTTTATAAGGCTATGCAGAGTGTGCTCTTGATGTGTTGCCATGTGCCCTTTTTATAAGAACAATTATTATATATCTTTTGGCTTAAGCAAAGATAACCCATTAATGAAATTAATAAAACAGTCAAGTGCAGGCCATGGTAGTTTAGTAAATGGATTATTTACTTTTAAGATAAAGCATTTTATGGGTTTGAGTATAATATTAACTGTTTTATTAACATTATCTTGCAACACAAATAATTCTTATAATAAGTAATAAATAATCGTAATGCATGTACTAAAAGGTAAAATGACAACTGAATTTGGCTGTACATTGAAATTACTTTTGCTGCTTGTTTAAACTAATATAAAAATAATTTGAACCAACACAATTCTCAAGACAACTTAACAATTTTAAGTTTAATACACTTAAATTTGTAAAATCAATAAAATCAACTTAATTAATTTTTATTTGGAAAACATGAAGGATTTGGTTCATATTCAAAAAAACAGTCATGAAAATTATGGAAATAAAACAATACAAGCCCATACAGACTCTATATGAACAGGCGGTTATGAGAAGAGCCATAAATATTAGTGCTGATTCCAAACATCCTCTTTTCAGTAAATATCAGATGTTACCATAAGAAAAAAGACTGAGAATGCCAATGTGTAAAACCAATAGACTGAAGCTTTTGTTTGTTCCTACCTCGATTAAACTGTTAAACTCTACCAATAACACTGCTCCTGTAGTAAGTTAGAACCTGACTGGGTTCTGTGTTTTATATATTTATACTTATATACAGTCTTATTTTGTAAACAATGCATGTTCTTAATTGTTTTGTTTTATTTATTTTTACTGTCTGTTTAGAGCAATGTGGTAGCACCTTTTTTTCCCCAAGACAATTTCCTCTCGGGGACAAATAAAGTTTATCCTATCCAATCCTATCCTATCCTATCCTATCCTATCCTATCCTATCCTATCCTATCCTATCCTATCCTATCCTATCCTATCCTATCCTATCCTATCCCATCCCATCCCATCCCATCCTATCCTATCCTATCCTATTTTACAGAGGGTATGTGTGGCAAATGTGTGCTAAGGAATCCCAGCCCCTTGATTGAGAACCTGTGGTCTAGAATATGTTTACATTAGAGCCAAATGACAAAATTATGTTTTGTGCCAATGCTCACCTGGGCACTGTCCACCGATCTGTCTTTTTCCATTGCTTCAATGTTTTTGATGGGTCAGGGAGTGGTGTCGCCACGGTGCATGGACCCCCGTGCCCACAAGGCATGACTTGGACCCCCTCCACCTCCATGGTCTTTATCTGTCTCAGGTTGACTCTGTGCCCGCTCCGGTTTAGGGTTTGGAGTCATGGGTGGATCAGGCTGTTGTACTGACATGGTGCGGCGAAGGTGCGTTCGCTTACACAGAAAGTCTGGTTTAGCCGACAAACCGAATGAGCCCTTTCGAAGCACCATTCGCACCGATGAGCTCTTCTTGGGACGAGCTCTGTGACTGAACTGCAGGGAGGAAAGGTGAACCGCATAGCCCTCACTCAGGAACTGTGATGGATCACAAGATTTGAAAAAATATTAGAGAAAACTAGATCAATACTGGACCAATTAAGGCAGAAATTGAATGAAAAGCAAAGTCAGTTAACCTGGCACTGATTCTGGTACTTCTTGGAGGGCCGTCCCACTATATATATCTGGTTGGGGCTGAGGCCCAGTATGCTGTAGACTGAAATGTCCTTCATGGAGCCGTAAGCGCAGTTGATTTTAATGTGACACTGCCAACATGAGAGAAAGGGCAAAGTGTGATAGACGGCCAGAGGATACACTGGGAAAACACCACAGTTTCTGTGTGACTACTCATGTGTGAGACAGAAGAAGTGAGTGTGAGAGATGAACCAAGAGATGCACAGGAATAAAGAAAAGTGTGTCTACTGAAACTCACAGTTCATTCCTACTATGCACAATATTTTTAGGACCCTCTCATATAATTTGATAACACTCTACAGTAAGGTTACATTAGTTAAAGTATTTACTGTACTAACATGAATAAACAATAAACAATACATTTATTACACTATTTAATAATGTTTGCTAATGTTAGCTAATGAAACTAAAGCTATTAAGTGTTAGATCTCGTTAACTAAGACTGCAGTAACTAATGTTAACAAGCACAGCTTTGGATTTTACTAATTATTAGTTCTGTCTATGTTTAACTGTGATTTGTAAGTGTTGTACAAGCATATTTAATTCTTAATTTATGTTTGTAAACACATTAATTAACATTAACTATTGGAATTTACAAATTGTAAAATATAACTTTTTTATTTTAATATAGCAAAGTTTCTTACATTTACCCAGGGTGCATTTATCTTATTAAATACACAACATTTAAAGTATTAATTATTCATGCTAAATTCTGAATATCCCGATAATTTAAAATGTAGTTTATTCTAAAGCCAAACTGAATATTTGCCATCAATCCAGTCAATGTCATAGGATACTTCAGAAACAATAATTTCATAGATACTGTAATATCACATCCAATATTATAATACGATACCTGATTAGGTGCTCAAAAAACAAGAAAACAAAAAACATCTGTCATACCAGTGTTGAAATTGGTTAACATTTTTTTTTGGATTCTCAAGTTTTTCAAGAATTTCAAGTTTTTCAATTTAATTGTAAGATACATTCTCTTGAAATGACAGAATTGCATCTATTTGAATAGGAAATACATTTTGTAACATATAATTATCCAAAGGTTCTGGGACATGATTGTACAAAAAATTAATGGTATTTTATCTATTAATATTGGTTGTGACCCAAAGCACATACTGTTTCGAATATATGATGAGATTAATATGAATAAACATAAAAAACACAGCAAATTCCTGACATTTTGAGCAGGAATATGTATTCTCCTGAACTGGATTATGGACAAAATTCCTACAAAGTCTTTATAGCACAGGGTAATACTTGAATATGTACCACTTGACTACTTAACTTAATTTCATGAGAGGTGGGATCAATTTTTGTTGCATATGGATTTAAACTTAACCTCCATACTCATCAGAGGGATCATTTAATGAGGTTAGATCTTGTGAAGGTTTGTGGTGTATGAATATGCTCAATATCTCTTTATTATTTTGTTTACCTATTATTAATATTAATATTATTATTATTGCATCCTCCCTGTTCTGTTCACTTGTTTGTTGCTGTATCTGTATTGCATGAAAATTTAATAAATAATAATAAAAAAATACATTCTAAATATATACACTCTCTTCTATACTCAAAGAAATTGGCCATTGTTTAAAAAAGCAGTAAAATATTTTTCAAGAGTTCACACTTAGATATCGTTTGACAATTGTTAGCAGGTTTGGCATGCTGTCCCAGGAGAGAACCCTGAGCTCGGAGATAGTTGAGCCAAGGGCTCCCACCTGGTCAATAGAGCATCAGGTGGTTCTCGAGAGCTCCCCGTGGTAAAGGAGGAAAAGAGGAGAAGGGGTGGATGGGGGGTTTCTTCGAAAAACGAAGGTAAGGGAGTAGTTCTAGCTAGGCTACTTATAGTGAGTTTGGATTAATCTGATTGGCTACCTAATGATTGTAGATGGGTGACCAGCTGCAGTCAATCATATCACATGCTCCACTCGAAATTAGTTTGTGGAACTTCACTTAAAAAATGGTCCCTAACACGTAACTAAATGTTATCTAAATAATTTTACTGATTTCAACTGATATTTTTATCTTAACCCTGTTCAGAGGAAATTTTTTTTGGTTCTTTGTTTCTTTCTTCAAAAGAGCATGTTTCTGAAACTCTAGTGCACCTTTTTATAGAAACACTACACAACACAGGCATATTCATATTTTACAAGCTCTAGAGTTTAATAGATACCGCAGGACAGATAGGAATGACTCATATACTATATATGTAAACATGGCAGGAGAAGGATTTACCTCTTGCATCAGGTTCCTGAGGAAGATAGTTTTCTGGCGAAGTGGGTCATGCACAAGCCCTTCAGAGAAGAAGATCATCCCTTGGGGGAAGTTGTGTTGAGAAAGCCAGGACACAACCCTCTGCTTCTGCATGTCTGGACGGCCTGTAATATATATGATCAGGTAGCCCAGGTCCTGCCAGTGCCTGCACGCAAAATACGATCATTTTACCATTTGGGTAATATTTGCTGATAAACATTTGGCGACTGAATACTGGATAGTCATGGCGCCTGGTCCTCCAACACCAGATTGCATTTGACAAAGCAGTAAATTTGCCCAAGGACAGTCTGGGAAACAACCCAAGATTGTCCATTTGCGAATCCCAAACCCCATCTGATATCTGGTATCAGCACTCCGCTATCTCTCTATTAAATGAAATCCAATTGTGCTTCACCGGCAGCCTGGGTCTTTTCAATATTGCCATGGCATGAAATGAAAGCATCGATTCTCTCTCCCTCACATTTACACACATAGCCATTCGCTGAATTTGTTACCTGACCACATCCACAGCTCCAGGCCGTACTTTGGGGTCGCTGCCCATAATGGAGACGCTGGCGGCGAATGAACCGTCGATGCTAAAGACGACACACTCCATCCCCCGAGGCAAAACCGTCAGGAAGGCCTCACCGCTCGTCTGGTCGCCCCTGCGAGGACACACTGACATGAGGTACGGGGAGAACAAAGTGTCGGCTCTTGATCAAACTCAAGATTTGTGAGATCAATTTAGCAGCAAGCAGTCAGTCTGCTTCAGCCCTCGGGGTGAGAGTTTACAAGTGCCAATTGAACGCTCCTCGCAAATGATCCCCACTGAGAAAAGCAGACCATTTTGGATACATTACAAGTAATCTTTGAAAGTCCTATTGACTTACTTGACGACCATTTTAATGGGGTACACCCCCACGGCTAGCTTTTTGCTTTTGGGGATGGTGTAGGTCACTCTGCCACTGCTGTTGGTCACCTCTGTGTCTAAGTGCACCCAGCGACTTGACTGTGGCTGGGTCATCACGTACACATCGACCTGAGAAACCAAACAACAAAGAGGCAGACAGTAAGTGGGAGTGAGCAAGATGGAGAGCGATTATTGAGGCATACTAGGGTGTCACGACATCAAAATGTCAGTAGTCAATACCAGCAGCGGTGACATTGCTCTGTACCAAATTCGATGGGAATCTCGATTTGCAATTTGATGAACTCTTTGATTTTGGAGCCATTACGATTTTTTTTCCAGCAGTGAATACTATTGACTGTGATACACACACACACACACACACACACACACACACACACACACACACACACACACACACACACACACACACACACACACACACATACACACACACACACACACACACACACACACAGACACACAGTGGGTACAAAAGGTATTCAGAGCCCTTTAAATTTTTCACTCTTTGTTATATTGCAGACGCCGGGGTAGTACAGTGGGTACTCACAGCACAGCACCTCACAGCAAAAAGATCGCTGGTTCGAACCTCGGCTGGGTCAGTTGGCATTTCTGTGTGAAGTTTGCATGTTCCCTCGTGTTCGCGTGGGGGTGCTCCAGTTTCCCCTACATACAGGATGTGCTAAAATTGACTGTAGTGTATAAGTGTGTGTGTGTGTATGAGAATGAGTGTGTGTATGTGGATGTTTCCAAGTGATGAGTTGTGGCTGGAAGGGCATCAGTTATGTAAAAACCTATGCTGGATAAGTTGGCGTTCCCTCCGCTGTAGTTCATTTGTTCCCTCATTAATGTACATACAGCACCCCATATTGACAGAAAATCACAAAATTGTTGACATTTTTGCAGAAAAACTAAAATAACACATGTATTTAGACCATTTGCTGTGTCACGCAGTGATGTTACAGGGATATCCTGAACGAAAGCCTTCTGCAGAGTGCTCAGGACCTCAAGCTAGGCTGAACATTTTCCTTCCAACAAAACAATGACCCAAAACAATCAGCCAAAATAACGAAGGAGTGGCTTCACAACAACCCTGTGACTGTTCTGCAATAGCCCAGGCAGAGCCCTGACTTTAACCCTTCTGGAGAGACCTAAAAATGGCTGTCCACCAACGTTTACCACCCAACCTGACAGAACTGGAGAGGATCTGCAAGGAGCAATCCCAAAATCCAGGTGTGAAAAACTTACTTCATCTTTCCCAAAAAGACTCATAGATGTATTAGATCAAAAGGGTGCTTCAACTAAATAGCATGTGATATTTCAGTTTTTTTTTTTTTTTAATCTACAAAAATGTAAACAATTCTTGTTTTTTTTCTGTCAATATGGGGTGCTGTGTGTACCTTAATGAGGAAAAAAAAAAATTACTTAAACGATTTTAGCAAATAGCTGTAGTATAACAGAGTAAAAACAGAAAGTACATTTTTGTTTATAATTGATTGTGGTGATCATCTACAGTATATACAGTATTGAAGCAGCCGCTAATCTACTTAGAAAACTGGATTCTGTTTATTATGCATTAATACACTTTTTCACAGGCGCAGACTCAAAGACGCATGTATGATTCCTTAGATTAATCAAAGGAGAAAATTACATTCGCACCTATTTACTTTAAAGGCTCTCTTAGGTAAACTACCATCCAATCTTTCTAATTTGCTAACATTTTACATAAATAACTAACACACTAGATGTGATTCCTGTACTCGTTTAACAGTCCCAAGAGTATTGTCAGAACTTGGCAAATGTGCTTTTTCCTTTTATGCTCCTAGGGCTTAGAATGACATGCAAAATCAGCTTAATCTTGACACTTTCGACATTTAAACATCTTCTGTACAACATCTTAAAGGACATTTGTAATTGTTTTTATGATCTGACCTTTTTATGAATGGTGATTTTGTAATTTTGTGGCATTGTTTTTTGTGATTTAGATGTGAAACTTTTACAGTATGTGCTGCCTGCCGTTTTGACCAGGTCTCACTGGAAAAAGAGACTGTACTGTTTTAATGTGATCTCCTGGCTAAATAAAGGAAATAATAATAACAAATTTAGTGAATGAATATTTTCAGCTCCCATTGTGTGTACAAAGTTATTAAAATTGCAGAAATGGCTGATGAAAATTAGGTTCCTGAGGCATATATTAATATGTAAGAAATAAAGATAAGTGATTGGGTCACACTTCATTTTGATGGTCTGTTGGTTGAATTTAAGTTACATTGCATGTACATGCCAACTAATTTTCAATGAATTATAAGTAGACTGTTAGGGTTGGGGTTGGGGGTTAGTGTAAGATGACATGTACTTGCAAAGTTTCTTATAGTCAGTTAAATGTGTTCATCAATACAAAGTGTTACCATTAATTGTTCTTGATTATAAATATATTAGATATTTTGTATGATACTTATATAAGATATTTAGGTCACACTTTACAATAAGGTTCATTAGTTAATTTTTAATTAATGCATTTACTAACATGAGCAAACAATGAACAATACATTTACTACTGTATTTGTTCATGTTAGTTAATGTTAGTTATTGAAAATACAGTAGTTCATTGTTAGTTCATGTTAACTCATGGTGCATTAACTAATGTTAACAAGCATGGACTTGGATGTTAATAACGCATTAGTAAATGTTCAATTATGATTAATAAATGCTGGACATGTGTGGACATGTTAGTAAATGTATTAACTTATGAACCTTATTGTAAAGTGTTACCGATATTTAACTTTTTTTTTGCTTTTTAACATTCTTTAAGTTAATAATGTTTACATTACTACTTAACCAAGATGATTATTACATTGAGAAATACATTTTACGGTGCAATACTTTCAGTCACAATTTCAAATTAAATTAAACTTGAGTGTCTAGTGAAAACACCATATGTCACTGGTGCTTAAGTGTGTAGTAAATGAAACCAAGATTAAAGTAAGTAATCGTTATGTATGAATTACTAAAAAAACATGCTTGGTTTTGTTTTAGCATTAATTCAAATATTCTGACTGATCAGGGGTGCGTTTCCCAAACAATGACGTAACTCCTCATTTGGGGGAAAGAACGATGTAGTGACGAGTGTTTCCCAAAACCCGTAGTGTCTTTGTCACAGATTCATCATTTGAACCACATTAGTTATAACGTAAAACACCCATAATTATGCTCTAAATAGGGTGGGAACAACCTTTTTAGAGAAGAACCCCATAATTTATTTGTGCAAATCATATTGTTTTACACGCACATGCATTTAAAAAGAAAATCCAATATTAGTTTTGGTAAAAACATGCACTCGTTTCCATATTAATTGAACTATACAGTATGTAAATGGCACATCTATGGCCTGTATTTCCTTTACAAATATTATTGAGAACAATGCATATTCTATTTTAACATATAAAATCATCAAAAAAAGTTAACACGTACTCTAATATTATATATAAATCCTATAAATGAATAAATAATGAAGCAATTTATTAAAAAACTAAATGTAATATTTTTTAGTTATTAGGGTATAAAAATATTTTAATATTATTAATATTAATAAAATTAATGATTTGGGTGATGATGAATGATATTGTTTATTTAAATTTCTTTTTTAAGTCTACCTTATCAAATTAAACACAGCAGAAACCTTCTAACCAACAGGCCCATGTCATATAAAGTACAAATACTTAATAAATAACCTACTTTTAATTAAAAGCATTAACAAATGCTATGTTTTTTTGTTTTCACAAGTTTTGGAGATGTAACATAAATTCTGAATAAATTTTAAATAATAGGTCATTTATAGCTTTTATCATGAGCCACGGCTGTGTTCAAAATGACAACAATGTTTTCAAAGTGCACTGTGAAGGGAGCGCAATTGTAAACATGAAGACCACTAAATCTGAACTGTAAAAATACTTTGAAAGCAAAATTACACCTATAAGAGTGATGACTTTAATGCATTAAAAAACATTTAAAGAGCCCATATTATGGGTTTTTGAAAATTCCCCTCCATGTAGTGTGTAACACAGCTCTAATTGAAGTGAAGTATCCAGCTAAGGCTTAAATCTGTAAGAATACAGTGTTTAAAACGGTTGATTCATCTATAAAAGAGTCGACTCGTAGTGCTTCAAACGAGTCGCCTTGATACCGAGTCATTAGGTGTTTCGCCATGACGTACGAACGAAACCAAGTTATTCACGTGCAAGCTCAAACCCGGGAGATTTCAAACCTGAGGCCCCGCCCTCTGACGCAGAAACCCAGACACACACACACACACCCACAAACACACACACACAAACATGCCGGTCGATTGAAGTCACACTGCAGATGGATATTATCGAGGGTCTACCCAAAGATGAAACCTCAGCATTATAACCAAGCAGTTGGAAACTACTGGAAACTTCTGCAAACTACATGCTACAAAGAATACTTTATTTGCGTTTGTTAAAGGAAGGATCAGTAAAGAGTAACTTACTGCTGGACATGTCAGGATGGGTTTCTTCCTCCATTTCTCAAGTGCAAGTACGTGCGATTAAAGTTGTTGCCTCGTTGACTCTAGCTTGCAAATGTATTTAGTTGTGATATACTTGTAACCGCGTGTACTGCATCAGGTTAACTGGCTATATTCTCTTATCGCGTGTCACGTTACGTTAAAAACGCGATGTGTGCTGCTTTGTTTACGGAGCTCCGTGGTAGAGGTCTGCATTCCCGTGGCTGTCCCCGCGCGGGAATAAATTTTCGAATAAATCGCAGGAGTGGTCGGTAACGGGTTTAATTTGGGACGGGAGCAGGCTGTCTAGCAATATCACGGATATTGCTATGCTAATGAGAGTGAAAGCTTTGCCTGTGTGTCTGCTTGGTGCTTGTGTGTGTGGGTTAGTGCGCACGCGTGCGTATGAGAGAAAGAGACAGCGTGGCTGTCTGGACTGTATAGCTGGGTGATTTTTGGTTTTGTTCTCCCCCGCTCTTTAGCGGGATCGGGCGCGGTGGGCAGAAACCGGGGCGGGTCGGGCACCGGGACAACAAATTCTTAATATAAGCGGGAGCGGTCAGGTTCAGGCTAAAACCTGGCGGGTGCGGGCGGAAGTGGGAGCGTTGTCGTCCGGAGGTGTGTGTGTGTTTTTGTGTGTGTGTGGCAGCTAAAATCCACGCCTACACTATTGAGCGTATATGAACTGTGATTACTTTTTATATTGCTGATTAGCTATTGGGCATTTCACTCTCTGACTGAAGGCAGTCGACCAATTGCGACAGACTGTCATCGGTCCAATCAGCGCAGATTAGCTTCGCGCTAAGGAGGGGTTTGGGAACAAATGAATCACTGGACGATTCATACAGGAGTCGCTGGGATAATTAGGTAAAAATAAATGCAGATTATAAGACCATGAAAGTGTTTTTTGACCTTGCATGCATATTAGACTGTTGTTGGAGACCCTTACAACCAAGATATGACACTATTTCATGTATAATATGGGCTCTTTAAATGTTTAAATGTTAGAATGTTCTAACCCAATAGGGCATAGGGAGGATAACTGGGAATAGAAGACAACCAAAAACTATTTTTCTAACTACAGCTCCAGAGGTGAAGTTGCATGCATACAAGTTTGCAACACAGTTTTTGAATGTTCGGTGGAACAATGGATTTGGGAAAAGCCAAATCAACAAACAACGGGAATTGCGACCATAGCTGGCAAACAATTGTTTTGGGAAATGCACCCCTGAGTAGAAAAATCAGTAACAATAAAATTCTATAGGCAATGTACAAAATCGAGCGTCATATTCATATTAACAGCTTTCTTACCTTTTCCCCTGTCAGGGTCACCATATCCAGCGGGCCATACATGAAGCGACCGACCAGGGTCTGGTGGCCATCTTCAGTTGCGATGACATCATTAACTCTATGGTTTGCAGTAACGTTCTGCAGACAGAAAGAGGAGATATCAGGCTTTCTGTGTTTCTGTCATTTTCTTACCACAAGAGACTGATATGAAAAATGAAGAAAAGGATAGGAGCATATGACACTGATAATACAGCCATTCACCATTTCTGACATATGGAGAAAAAAAGACAAAGTGGCAGTTTCATAAGTATGCAATACAAAGTTCTTCCAAAAGAGGGTGTCACGCTCTAATTCTTCCTGTCTTCAATAAATTTCATTTCAGTGATAAAGCTGTTCTACACAGAACCCAGTGAAGATAAATCCTACAGCTCCTGCTGAGGCAGCTGCGCCTAAATGGAAAATTAAAGCAAGCAAAACACAGAGCTATGCAAATCCTGAAAATAACTAGCCACAGTCACCTTCATGCCGGTTGAGGAAGCAGACAAACAGAGAGAGAGAGAGAGGGGGGGGAGGGAGGGAGATAAATGCAAGAAGCTTTTGCTCTGTCGCTTTATAGGACAAATGCAAGACTTTGAGACCGTGTCTGAATTCACAAACGCTTCCACCATAATCCCAAATCGAACCATTCTCAAACATGCACACACACACCAGAGACTATAGTGATAAAATCCATCGGGATACCAAGACTTAAATGAACTGCGGTCTAAAAAAGTGCAGACAGAATAGATTTTTGCCCTTTTTAACAGTTTGAGAAGAGCTTGATTATCTTGTGTGCTAAATATTGCGAATTTGTATGGCAGTGACTGTTAGCATGCTGCTGTTGGGCTTCAAGGGTATACTAGGTTAAGGGCTTTCTCAAGCAAATGATAGAGAGAAAAACGGACTGATGAATATTCCAATTGTTAATAAATTAATAAACATGATATTTTAAGATATTATTAAACAATGACACACAAAAAAATTAAACAATGACACACAAAAAAATAATAATAATATGAGAAACTTGATTACAACTTCTAAAGATAAGAATTGTGAGTTTACATAAAATTATTATTTATATAAAACAAATAAATAACAGAGAAATAATTGGAAAATTGAAAATAAACAAATATGACTCACACATGATAATAGGTTAAAAAGTTATGTGTGCAAACAAAGAATTTCTTAATAATCTGTCTGGATATGATAGTACAGAGAGCGCCCTTATAAAGATAACCATTGATTTCCGCCTAAAAAAAACAGTTAAGGCAAATCTCTAACTAACTAACTACCACAGCATACTTCTGGGTAGGCTGGAAACCTGGATTGGGCTGTCTGGCATGGTTCTCAAATGGCTCATATCTTACCTTGAAGAAAGAGGTTACTATGTCAGTATAGGTGACCATAGGTCGGGGTGGACACCCATGACATGTGGAGTCCCACAAGGTTCAATTCTGGCACCTCTTCTGTTCAACCTGTATATGCTCCCACTGAGCCAATAATGAGAAAGAACCAAATCTCCTACCACAGCTATGCTGATGACACTCATTTCTACTTAGCCTTACTGCACAATGACTTCAGCCCCACTGACATTCTTTGCCAATGCATTGATGAAATAAACAGTTGGATGAGTCAGAAATTTCTTTAGTTAAATGAAGAGAAAACTGAAGTCATTGCATATGGGAACAGAGATGAGGTTCTCAAGGTGAATGCCTACCTTGGCTGTAATGGTCGAACAACAAAAAACAAGGTCAAGAATCTTGGTGTTATTCTAGACTCTATTCTGATATGAGTTTCAGTAGTCATGTCAAAGCAGTTACTAAATCAGCATACTATCATCTCAAAAACATTGCAAGAATCAGATGCTTTGTTTCCAGTGAAGACTTAGAGAAACTTGCTCATGCTTTTATCAGCAGCAGAGTGGATTACTATAATGGACTCCTCACTGGCATTCCCAAAAAGACAGTCAGACACTTGCAGCTCATCCAGAATGCTGCAGCCAGAATTCTGACCAGAAGCAGGAAATCAGAGCACATCACACCTGTCCTCAGGTCTTTACACCAGCTCCCAGTTCCATTCAGAATGGATTTCAAAGTATTATTACTTGTCTATAAATCACTAAATGGCCTAGGACCTCAATACATTACAGATATGCTCACTGAATACAAACCTAACAGATCACTTAGATCTTTAGGATCTAAAAAATAGAAATTCGAAGGATTCAAAGCAGGGTGAATCGACAAGGGATGGGCCGGTATAAGATTCTGATGGTACGATAACCTTGGACATAAATATCACAGTTTCATGGTATTGTGATTATTGCTCTAAAATATATTCTTTTTAAATGTCTGGGTAAAAAACAAAACACCCCCCCACCCCCTTTGTACACAATATATTTTAATTTGGAAAACATTTAAAATATTTGTAAGCAGTAAACATGTCAGGCTAAATAATTCAAATGAATTATTGACTTTTGTTTCAAAAACATAGATATTTTTTTAAACAGCATCTTTGGATTTTTTTCTGCTTGAGGTACTGTTGTCCTAAAAAAAAAAAAAAAATATATATATATAACTCATTCCTTAGGATTGGTATTGCAGAAAATTTTGACGGTTTTAAAACCTTGACTTTTCCAAACAGCGATATACCTTGAACACGGTTATCGTCCCATGCCTAAAATCAACCTTCAGCAACTGCACCCCCCACTGCTGGAATCAGCTCACAGAAATCATCAGATGTGCTCCAACATTAAGTACAGTTAAACAAACACTGAAAACACATCTGTTTAGCCGTGCCTTTACTGAATGTGCACTGTGCTGTGTCCAACAGATCACATTATTATGTCTTTCTTTTATTTTTTATTCCCTTAAAACCTGTTTAAACACATTTTAATCGGTTTTTAATCATTTTTAATTATTTATTTTTCTTTTTCTTATACTTGTCTCTTTTATTCCTGTTCATCTAAAGAAATTTGAATTACATTGTGTATGAAATGTGCTATAAAAATGAACTTGCCTTGCCTTGATGAATCTTAAATATAGGCATGTGCATTTTTATTACAGTGATAAGCCAAATCGGTTTAATTTTATTAACGATGCAGTAATTTATTTTCAAGTGAAAAAAGTTAACCCCTATGTCTATGTGATATTCAGACACTAGATTTGCCCCATAAAAAAGTTTTGTTGTCCATTTGGCAAAAAACATGAGTCAGATTGCTTTTAAAAAACTCTATGCATTAAAAAAGTTCTAGTTTTCTCATATTAACGCCAATGGCTCCATAAAAATAACTTGCCATGATCTCTTCCGGACAGGAATCTGTGTACTGTGACTTTGTTAATATTAAGTTTCTCCTGTTAGCATGGCATAAGCCCACACAGAGCTGTATAGCCCCGAAAATCATTAGCCCACACCAGCTAATGAGACTGATTGCGCAGATTTGTCATTTAATGAAGCGGTTAAACATTCCCCAGCTTGCAGCCATTTGCATATTGATTAAGTCAGTCAATAATTCATCTTGGCATGCGCCCATACATGATTGCCATATGATGGGCTTCCAAACACAAGCACAAACCGCAGCTATACGCACACGGCCAAAACACAGCACAGCTCCATGCGCACTGCTGACACACCTGAATGAATTTTGAATTTCCAGACCCAAAAATGATAACCGGGACAGTCATGGATGTGCGTGGAGCAGATCCAGATAGGCTTGCTGTAAGCCAAAGTGATGTAGACACAAGCACAAACCGATAAAGACATTCAAGGTCTCAAGCGGGAAAACAGCATGACTGCACAGAAACGCCTTTGACTTGAAAGGCTAGCAAGTGCTCGGATCAAACACTACTGAGGCCATCAGCGCATTCAGAAGGGCTGGAATATAACCGCGATTTTTAGATCAAGGTCCCGAGTGATCAAAACACCATTCCCTGTGAAAAGAAAAGGTAGCGGCGATAACGCAGAAGTGTTTCAGTGAGCTATACTTAACCCCATGAAGGACTGGGAAAAAATGGGTCTTTGTTATGGTGGGCTCTTTTGAACACCAACACCCAAGTAAACCAGCCCAGGCAGTAGTTTCCAGCAGCACTGTTAGGTAATTGTGTTGATGTGCCTCCGAGCTCTAAATCAAGGTCGACTGAGATGCTTATTTTCGTAAAGCACGGATTTCTGCCCACACACACTGAGCCATTGTGCCGTGTTTGAGAAACTCAAAGCCTTGGCAGACGCAGATATTTTTAGTTCCTCTACAATGTCAGGACTCTGCTGCAGTCCACATTTTGCTTGAGTGATATACGTGTGTGTATGTGTGTGCGTCTATCTGAGCTTGCAGACCAGAGTCAGAAATAAGGCAGGCCTCAAGGGAAAAAATGTCATTGTCTGTGACAAAATTACCCTGGATTTTTAGAAAAATCTAAATGTTAAGTGACAGCAGATAGTAGAGACAAAAGAGTTGTCACAGAGGATAGGCAATTACTTTAAATGTTATTCTAACCTGGCCCATACAAAAAATATATATGTCATTAAACTTTTATATATATAAACATTTATCTATCTATCTATCTATCTATCTATCTATCTATCTATCTATCTATCTATCTATCTATCTATCTATCTATCTATCTATCTATCTATCTATCTATCTATCTATCTATCTATCTATCTATCTATCATATATATATATATATATATATATATATATATATATATATATATATATATATATATATATATATATATATATATAAGGTGGTCAAAATATATATGAACATATATGACTACCAAATATACACTGTGTCTCAAAAAAACCCAAGCAATAATATTTCATACAAAAATAAGTCTGCTTATCGAACTTATCAAAGGCCTAAATAAAAATGGTGTTTTTGAATGAAGATAAGAGTTTTATCAAAGGTTTAAAAGAACTGAAAGGGTACAGTGCTTCACATTTTCTTCAAAAATTTCTACCAAAAAACTGGACAAAAGGTGGATTGGATTATTTGTTGGTAAAAATTGATTGTACTAGATTGTAATGTAATATGGCAGTGAGTGCCCGCACTGTTGAAAATATCCCCACTGTAAAAGACATGGTACACTACTAAGCCAAGAGGATGCAGAAGAAGAAGGTAATGCAGTGATATAAATCAGGAGAGGAGGAAAACGTTGACATATAATATAACTTTATCTTCTTGCCATCTAATTGCAATATATAATTAAAGTTGAATGTAGTTTGACGAAATTCTGACAGAATTAATTTTGCTTGGATTTTTTTTTTTTTTTTTTGAGATACGGTGTAGTATCAGTTCACTGTGCTACTTATTTGGCACATGTGCTTATAATGTGTAATTATTACTCGTTTAACTCAACATTCCCATGCTGCATATTTCATATGTTTCTTTTTCATTTTAGACATTTGTTGTCATTCAACCATACATTAAGTGCCTTGCAAAGTGGACTCAACAGGATGTTCTGCCATGATTTCATTTTGAAGGGAGATTATGTATTTCATTCTAATGGCATGTTAGGGTATGTGAATTTATATTGTATTTATTTACAGAGGTATATTATGTAACACAATTCTCTAGTAAGAAGACACTGCAGGCAGTTCTTTTGCAATAGTACTTCACTTCAGAGTCTTCATTTGAGTCTTTGCACGACAGAAAGGTTTGGCTGCAGACCCGCACATGCACGCCAAGACATGCATTCTCAGACACATGAACTCAGAAAAGCTAGTCATATCAATATGAAGGGTAGGGTTAGGTGTACACATTAAAAACATGCATGTCTGAGTGCACGTACAAGTCTGCAGGCAGACCCTTTACAGAAGGTTCCTAAGTGAAAAAAAGGTTTCTCTTGCTCAGGCAGAGAGCAGTGAGGTAGAAGGGAGCAGGGAGGAATGCAGACTATGTACCTGCCAACCTGATACGAGATCATGCATGGGACTTTTTTAATGAGTCTGTTAAATAAGAGAGACATGCTAATGTAAGTATATACAGAGTGTTGGAGCATGAGGACCATGATTTAGAAACACTGCTAATTGAACATCTAAAGAAAAAATTGGCAAACGTGCATTATGTACTGACAGTAACAAACCAATTTAAACCAAAAAGGCCAATTTTTAAGACAGTTGTTAATTGAATTAAAAAATCTGAATGAATATTATTGCATTTTCATTGTTTAGGACTGATCTGAAGATTAGCAGTCGCTGGTTAACTTTTTTCCCTCAATAATCTGTCTAACTCAGATGCATGTCACAAAATGGATAAAAAGATATGCCACTACTTTTATTACTTTCTGACTTTAAACATCCAACACTGACATGACAAATTTTAAAACAACTACCAGTCAATAACCAATAAAGTCCCAACATATCAGGCAATGCAGTTTTTATATGGTTAGAAAAACAATATGCTTACATATTAGGCACTGGAAAATCAATTCCAAGAGGCAAATGCTGCCACTTAATAAAAATCTGACACTTCTGCAGATGAGAACTTCAATCACACTGCCATCTAACTTACGGATAACATTACTCAGCAGATTTCAAGCACACAGGTCTACAATTAATCACAGCAGACACTTATAACGAAGAGTAAATTGCATGACGTCGTCGGCAGGTCTGGATGAATGCACAAATCTTAATGGTGCTTGGACGCCTTACAGTGCATGAAAGAATGTGTTTTTCTCAACACAATGTGCTGTGTTTGTCCTTACCCTAAGTTTGACGTGTGTACGTCTGCGGAGCCACTTCTCTCTGGGACTTGAAGGAGAGAAGGGGGCCGAGTCACAGTTGTCCATCTCTTGGGCTTTCACATAATCGCAGTGCATCACCTGTCAATCAATCACACAGAAATTAGCAAATAATCATTACTGCACCCAAGAGACTGTGCGACCTTTAACGCAGGTCAAAGGTGAAGTGTGTAATTTCTGCAGCATGCAATTGCAATTTTTATTTTTACATCCCAGAATTTATTGCAAATAAGTGCCTCAAACTGCAATATTATAATACACTCCAGGTAAATTTATTTGAACATTTGAAGGAATATGAAGGAATGAATAAATGACACCCTCAAGTGAAAAGAACACTTGAGGGTGTCATTCATTCATTCCTTCATATTCTTTTCGGCTTAGCGTCTTTATTAATCAGGGGTTGCCACAGCGGAATGAACCACCAACTTATCCAGCATTTGTTTTACGCATATGTTTCCGATCATCTCCATATGTGGAAAATTCGGATGTTGAAATAGTTGAACTGCTGCGACTGACCTTATGCAACTGGCCGACCGGATGTGATGTTATCCAGTGTTTTGTTAGCAGATCCATTTTTTTCGTTATTTTTTTATTCAGAAACCGGTTGATATAAAAAAAACATTTCTATTCATAAATGAGTAATAAAAAATATTCTTTTATGTTGTATCCACATTCCCTCTAAAATATTTAGCGGTCTATGAGTTTTTAGTATTCATTCATTCAACTACAGTAAAGGCTGGAGAATAAAGGCTTTTGTTTTTGCACTCCTTTATTTCGGATACTGCGAGAACAGCTTCTTTACCATGGTGCACGACAAAACCGAAAATTCTGTGCAACTGCCACAAGGGGCGTATTCCAACAGTTGTGTCCTAATGTTGTGTGCATTGAAAAAACGGCTTGAGGGTTTTGTCTGTTTCGCAAATCTAATATATGCTTTGGGTATGCTTAAATGTATGTTTCAGATAAGTTGTTCTTGTACATACCCTAAACGCAATCAATAGTGGTTTCAAAAGCAAAAGTAAAAGAAATGTGCATTGTGACCATTTATTTTACCTTGATTTTGCATTGCTTTTGTGGAAGCGTGCCTCACTGGAATCAAACCTAAAAACTGTGAAAAGTAAGCTACTGAGCAAAATTACAATACCAGAAAAGTTGTCAATTTTAACCCAATTGTGCCAAAACTTTTATAAATAGTTTCATGCATGTAGCCTTGTTATTAGTGTCCTTTATGAACATGTTTTGCATTTTTTCTATAAAATTGTATTTGAATATGAGGCCACTATGGCACTTGAAATCTTTCATTTGGTTGATTGACAAATTGAGAAATTCATTCAATCATTATTATTTTTTTTTTTTTGGCTTAGTCTCTTTATTAATCAGGGGTCACCACAGAGGAATGAACCACCAACTTATGCAACATGTGTTTTACGCAATGGACGCCCTTCTAGCTGCAACCCATCACTGGGAAAAATTTATACACACTCATTCACACACAAACACTACGGAACATGTGTTTGGACTTGTGAGAGAAACCGGAGCACCCGAAGGAAACCCATGCAAACAAGAGGAGAACATGAAAATTCCACACAGAAATGCCAACTGGCCAAGCCGAGGCTTGAACTAGCGACTTTCTTGCTGTGAGGTGATTGTGCTACTCACTGCGCCACCGTGATGCCCTCATTGAGAAATTAAACATGGATATCATGTAGAAAGTTACTTATAAAAGAAAAATGGCAACTATGAACTTCGGCTGCCAATGGGCTAAAATGGGTTAAGATAGATGAGTAAAACGTACTTGATTACAAATAGACATTGTTACGTTTTTTGTGGTATTTGTTTTGTGTTGTGGTAAGAATTGCATAAAATAATCCTTTATTTATCGATAATATGTCCCTGTAAATATTATTAGTGTGAAAAAGAACAAAAGTTGTGGCCATCATACTGCTTCGCTGTGTTAATTTAAGCATGAAATGGCAAATAAACATATGTTTAATTAAATCTTCGCAGTTGCACAAAAAAAAAAAAAAAAACGTAGGCTGAAGCACACATTTCCTATGAGCCTGTGTTTTGCAGTATGTTATGCAGTGTTAAGTCAAACTATGAATCAGCAGCATTGTCCCTTTTTTCTGAAGGAATGAATAGTCAAGCTGCAATCATATTCCATCTTGGCGGAGATAATAAGGAAAGCTATTTTCAACACACAAACAAAACAACACAGCATTCTTTAAACGCTGCAAATATACTGGTCTGATTGAATCAGAATGCAGGTGTAAATACTATAAATCTGAAATATTGTCACTTTATCTGTTTCCTGCAGCAATGTAACACACTACCGTGAGAAAAATACCAACAATCAAAAGAGACTTTTATGACCTCTGGTATTTCACCAAGAAATCTCTCAGCAGATTCAGCTGATGTAGATGAAACGTCTTTGTTGCTGTAGCATTTGAGCTGGATCAAAGAGATCATGTTTACCAGTCTTCATATTATTCTTAAGGCTTGAAGATTTGCTGAATGTGAGGCAATAGCTGCCCTTGAGAACTTGAATCTTCAAAAAGTCACAGCAAACTTTGTCTTTGATATAGGTGTTTATATTGTGTACAGACTGTTAGTGGGTGTGTTACAGTAACTTAATACCACTAACATCATGATAAGACTCAATTTATCACTGTAAAAACAGGCTAATCAATCGCAAAAAAAGATTTTCAGTATCTAAAAATGGGGTGGAGTTGGTAAAGTGTGCAAATAAAAATGATTAAATACAAAAATAATATGCAACATAAAAAGTAGAACTGTCGGGTACTAAAACCGGCACCTACTTCAGGTAAAGACACAAGCTGTCGACAGCTCAAACAAAACCATTGCTCTATTGATTCCAAAGCTTTATGAATTTCTTTATTCTGTTGAACACAAAATAAGATATTTCAAAAAATATTAGACACTGACTTCCATAGTAGGAAAATCAAATACTATGGGAGTCTAAGGTTTCTGACATTTCCAACATTTTTCAAAACATTTTTTAATGTTAAACAGATAAAAGAAATGTATTCAGCTTCAAGTAAAGTATAAGTATAAAATAATAGAAATAGTGGGGTGAATAATCTCATTAATTTGCATAAGCAATTGCTTGAATCAGCTAAATTGACCTTCAAAAATTAAAAATAATGGGTCTGATTTACAAACTTAGAATAGAAAACTTCCTAAAAGTGAACGTACAACAGAATATATTATTTATTAATTTATTCATTAATGATTATGGCTCATATGACAATTTAAAGAGATTCAATTAAGTCAGTTATTTAGTTAAATAAGTGATGAAGGCAGTGGCGCAGTAGGTAGTTCTGTCGCCTTACAGCAAGAAGGTCGCTGGGTCGATGGTTCGAACCTCAGCTCAGTTGGCGTTTCTGTGTGGAGTTTGCATGTTCTCCCTGCCTTTGCGTGGGTTTCCTCCGGGTGCTCCGGTTTCCCCCACAGTCCAAAGACATGCGGTACAGGTGAATTGGGTAGGCAATATTGTCCGTAGTGTATGAGTGTGTGTGTGAATGTGTGGGTGGATGTTTCCCAGAGATGGGTTGTGGCTGGAAGGGCATCCGTTGCGTAAAAACTTGCTGGATAAGTTGGCGGTTCATTCTGCTGTGACGACCCCGGATTAATTAAGGGACTACGCCGACAAGAAAATGAATGAATGAATGTTTATTTATGCAGGTTTCCAACCCCGTTTTGTGCATTTATAAATGACACCCAATGTCTTGGTGATTAAAGAGCCTTTGTTATGGATTTTTGAAAAAGACCTTCCATGCAGTGTGTAACACAGATCTAGGTGAAGTGAAATATCCAGCTAAGGCTTAAATCTGAAAGTCTGAATTAAATCTGAACTATTGATTTATCTATAAAAGAGTTGACTCAGAGTGATTCAAATGAATCGCCAGTGTAAATAATCTTTAGATGTGTCTGCATGACGTTGATACGGAACTCAAGCCTGGTCCATTTGTTGCGCTCGCTGACCCGGGAAAATTTAAATGCCCAGCCCCACCCACAAACACTGTAGAAAGATAAAGAGGAAGACAAACACTGTAGCAGATGCCAGTTGAATCATGTTGCGAAGACACTGTGCTCTGACGCTGTGCTTCACTACCCAAAGATGAGGCTATGAAGAGTCAAAATTAGTGGTTAAAGTTAATTTTTGCAAAATACCTCAGCATTATAGCCCCAGCCTTGTGCTGTGTTTCTGTCATTTTTCTGACTAGTGCTACAGCAATCTACACGCTTACAACGGTGGATTTTTCAGCTGTTTGTAGGGCGACGCAGTGGCACAGTAGGTAGTGCTGTGGCCTCACAGCAAAAAGGTTGCTGGTTCGAGCCTCATCTGGGTCAGTTGGTGTTTCTGTGTGGAGTTTGCATATTCACCCTGTGTTTGCGTGGGTTTCCTTCGGATGCTGCAGTTTCCTCCACAGTCCAAAGACATGCGGTACAGGTGAATTGGGTAGGCTGAATTGTCCATAGTATATGAGTGTGTGTATGAATGAGTGTGTGAATGTTTCCCAGAAATGGGTTGCGGCTGGAGGGGCATCCGTTGTGTAAAAATGTGCTGGATAAGTTGGCAGTTCATTCTGCTGTGGCGACCCCAGATTAATAAAAGAACTAAGCCAAAAAGAAAATAAATAAATGAATGAGTTCATGGATCATTTCCTTTCTCCAGTTCACAAGTGTAAGTGTTATAACAATGGTTGCCTCCTTGTTTTCTCTAGCTTGCAAAATGTGTATTTAATTGTGTTTAGTTACTTGTTACCACTCCACGTGGCTTGTACTGTATCTGGTTAACTCTTTATATTCTCATATCGCGTCTAAAGCCACATTGAAATCATGACATGTGACGCTTTCTTCATGGGTTTAAACACGTTTTGTGAGCTAACGATCCTCTGCTGTTTGTCATTGCTATGGCCAACATCAGCTGTTCCTACACATGTGAGGCGGTCAAGTTTAAAATAGTTCAGCTTTTCCTATAGTGTGGGTTAATACTGAATGTGTGTTATGATTAGGAATAGAGCAATATGCTGGTGTTTAACTGCATTGCTTTAATGCACTATTGCTATGGGCTCACACTTATACTCTGCAATCTGACTACAAAACTGTTGATAATCCGTGGTGGGCATTTCTCTCTGTCTCACGCTGAGCACAGACTAATTACAAAAAAAAAAATTACAATTAAAAATAGTAACACTATAACAGTAAAATAGCACATCACATGATACGGTCAAAAAATGAAGAAAAATCCTAGAGTTTCTCATACTAAATGACTCATATTCAAATCTCTGAATGACTGTACTCTCTTTATCGAGACTCCATCCTTTCACATGACATTTGAAAATGTGTAAGTGGTGTGTAATGACTTGATCATGTCATAATTGCATCTCCAGTGATAACCTTCCATTTAGCAGTCCCAGAGGGAAGCAAAATACACTAAGGAGAGTTAGCACAAACAGATTAGACCAAATGCATAAAACATGAAACCAAAGCTCAAAATATGCACACAGATAACAACATAATCTGATGTGCGACACCTAAACCGAACACTGCAGCTGGAACTCTTGTCAGCTCTATCTCTCTCTCTTTCAAGCAGGCGAAGAAAATTATAAAAGAAACGCATTCAGAAAGATAGATTGGTCTGTGATTTGCCTAAATTGACTACTTCCTCCCCACCTGTGCCGCGACCGCTTCTTAAGAATGAATTTAATAAGAGGTGCCATTTGCATTTGACACTCTCAAGTGAAGCCCGGGTACATCTGCATTGAGTACTACATCAGCGATTTGATCTTCAAAAGTCTCTGAAAGTGAAGGATGTGCCACATTTATTTGTCTCTCAGCCAGAGGTACAGCTGATGTGAATAAAAAAGCTTTTAGAATAAGATACAGTCCTTTCAGTTAAATCGAAAAAAAAAAAATCAGCTCAAACGACTGAGGAACGAAGGGTTCAAGTTAGGAACATATTAAGAGAAAGAGACTGTTGATAGAGGACAGACAGAGGTTGTGAGAACAGCGTATCTAAAATCTGTCTATGGTAAAAGGCAAGTCCTGCAGTCTTGTCACGTAGTACTAATTTGATTTCTCTGGCAAGGGAAGAGCAATAGTCGGGGAGTCTGAAGTTATTTACGATTGTTTGACCTTAAAGATGCACAATAAAACAAAAACAAAACAATACATCTTTCAAAATCTGACTGGGACTTGGGTGGTTGTCTTACACACACAGTTCAGTAATTTACTGCAGTAAAAGTGAAAAGGCAGGTAAACAAAACAGTGTATAGATGAATCTTTAATTTTCATCTACTAGATATACCTATTACTTTACAAATATTAATAATAATACAACTAACATCAGGTTAACTCTAAAAATAATGTTTCACGTTTTTTAAAGACATTTTGCCCTAAAAACATTAACTTAAAGACTCTCACTAAAGTATTTTGACCATCACTGCGTCCTGAATAAAGCTTCAATTATCATGAATTAATTACATGGAATTTCATATTCTTAGAGTTTTGAGATATATATATATATATATATATATATATATAAATACAACAAAAAACAGGCAATGAGTCTTGACTAATTAGTGTTGCCACATATTCACATATATAATATGAACAAGAAATTGTGAACAAGCCCATAAAAACACCCTCAAACATCTTTTTTCATAGAAACAAATAGGCCACATACCAAAATATTGCAAACTGCACTTGGCTCTTTCATTCAACTGTGGTGCTTCAGGTGGTTTACAAGCAACAATACTGTAAGTTTATAATATGCGAACATAGTAACTTGTCAAGAGTGTACATAAACATAACATAACTTCTTTGTAGACTGTCTTTAGTTAAAATCACAGACCATAATAAATATTTAATTAGTAGTTGATGTCAGCAGTGCAAGATACTGTCATAACCTTACTAATAGTGTCAACCATCATGAGCATTTTTAAACGAAAGAAGACTGTATCCATTACAATATTGCAAGTGCAGATGGTGACAACTAACTGTTAAATGTTTTTGTACTTGTCACTGAATTGTGACAAGTGACAAGTGAAGTATTTAAGTCACAGAATCATTCATTCAACTGATTAAAAGACTATAATAGACAACACTATCCAGTAAATTACTAGTTATTTCATTTAATTGTACATTTTTTTATTATGATTTTTAGTTTAACCAGAATTTTTCAGATCTACAGTAGTATGCTTAAAAATAAAAATAAAAACAAGCCATGTTTTAATACCCACCGGGGCAGGCTTAACTAACAACATGCATCACAAATTTTTTCTCATTAAAAAATACTGTAAGGATGTACTAAAGAAATGTAGTGGAAAAATAGTTATTACACAGTTTTTTTCTGGAGATGAACTCATTGCACACATATTTATGGAAAGACTGTGTTTAAGCTAATCATGCAGTGGATTTAAGGTTTGCTATATTATTTGCATAATTTTTATTCTTATTGCTGCTTTTATGGGCTTACACTCTGAGACATGATTTACTCTGTTTAGTAAACATGTCCCTTGGAGTTAGGGGTTCCAAAAAAGAAAATGACTATTGATTATGCATGGCTCATCATCTACTGTACCTGTCGCAGAAGGAAGGCGACAACATCAGTAGATTCCCAGTAGGACGCATGGAACAGGTGAGGCAGAGCCACCGTGGGGAAAGATGTCAGGACGTCTGGGCAGTAAAGAGCATAATCCAACCGCTTAGACCCCCACCAGCTGCTGGAGACTAACACACATAGAAAAAAACACACACAATCAACTGAGTTAAGCTGAGATTGCTGCTTTTCTGACCACAGAAGAAATTTGTATCATGCTTTTCTCCACACACAAAAAAAAATGAACCAAATACGGCTTTCAACAATGATAATGAAAATGTTAGTTCAGCACTAAATCGGCACATTAGAAGGATTTGTTAAGAATCATGTGATACTGACAACGAGCGTAATGATGCACAAGTTTAGGTTTGCCACCGTACACAGTAAAAAATATCTGTAAATGACTTGTAGCAGTTTTCTGTATTTTGCGATTCATGTTTTTATTTTGTATTTCCCACTTTATTTATGCTTTTGAATCGCATTATGGGACCTTGACCTTTCTTCCGAGATAAACCTTGAAAAGTTTGAAAAAGCTAATTTTCTTGACCGTTAAAGCAGGGGTACCCAAACTTTTTTGTATAAAGACTCAAAAATCAAATATCATTATGAGCCTTGGGCTGAAGGTAAATGTACCAAACTTATTACATTCATTCATTCATTCATTTTCTTTTTGGCTAAGTCCCTTTATTAATCAGCGGAATTAACCACCAACTTATCCAGCATATGTTTTATACAGTGGATGCCCTTGCAGCTGCAACCCATCACTGGGAAACATCCCAACACACTCCTCACACATACACTACGGACAATTTAGCATTCCCAATTCCTCAATTCAATTTAGCCTTCCCAATTCACATGTTTTTAGACTGTGAGAGAAACTGGAGCACCCGGAGGAAATCTATGTGAACACAGAGATAACATGCAAACTCTACACAGAAATGCCAACTGACCCAGGCGGAGTTTGAACCAGTGACCCTCTTGCTGCAAGGCGATCGTGCTACCCACTTCGTCTCTGTGCTACAATACAATTACTTTACAAATTACATTACATTACAAGTTGCCATGGGTAATTTATAACTTATTTCATAATATTTAAAAATAAATAAAAAACATTCATTTAAATTGTAATAATGCAGTATAACTTTTTAAATGATAATTTATTGCAATAAAAACATAACAGTGAACAGTGGAGTTAAATGTTGAATAGTCAAGCAGAATCTGCCTTTGCCTTGACATGTACATTTTTAACTAAATCTGATTAATTGACAGTATTTAATTGAAACATTTAATTTCAGTCAGCTTTTTACAATAATAAAAAGGTTACATTAGATTTGAAATGACAATCTCTATAACATCTCCATCATTTTTCCTTTCTTCTCAGATGGGATGGCAGGCTAAATTGAAGGTTACCATGAGCCAACTTTGGCCCGCGGACCCTAGTTTGGGTATCTCTGGTTTAAAGTGCTATATTGTTAGGGTTGGTGTTGCATATTACAGTACAATTACCTTGTAATAAACTTCCAGTATATTTTCTGTTAATTTTTTAGACTTATTTCTCTCTATATACTGTTTCTTATACATTATATTACTTCAAACTACTACAATATAAACAAAAGTTACTTTGTTAAACTGTAGAATTGAATTTTCAACATCAAAGGTCAACAGAGCAGAAATCAAGGCCCCATAATGCAATTCACAACCGCAAATAAACAGAAAACACTTTAAAATATGGATCCTGTTAATTAACAGATATTTTTAAAGTGCATGAATACATTGTTAAACTGTAACAATTAATCAAATGAATAGTGTAAAAAAAGGTGTCTGGCAAACACACAACCTTTACTTTTAATGACTTACATCTACTGTGTGAACATTGTGCCATCTAATCAATATTCATGAGCCAGGCTTAAAGGGTTTAAAATGCATTTCTGCACTATTAGGACCTCTGTTTAAAGAAGAAAAAACATATTGGAGAATAATGCTAAACATTACGGCACATTCACTCTATTGTACCATTCTGTTTTTCTTGTTAGAGGCAGACAGATCTTGTAAGAATAAAAAAGTGTCAATAAAAGTGCCATGTTTTAGACTAATAAACTGCCATTATGCCTCTTCTCTGCAGAGAGATATGATCTACTTGAACAGAGTTAAATACACTGCAGCAGGTCTTTTGGCAGCACAGAGAGCCCTTTAAACTACATTGCTTGGCTGGATAGCAGAAAACATCAATCCACCTTTTTCCAAGTGAGACTACTGTGTTTTAAATTATGTTTGGGGAACTTCCTTTTTAAAAAAAAAACCCTGGAACAAATCATTTTAAATAATACTCTTGTGCTACAAATAATCCACATCAAACAGAGGTACATTCGGCTTTGTGGTTTATTTTTATCCATCATGAAAATAAATAACATTCCACTTGGTATGTTGAAATTAGTATAAATAGCATATCTTTTGAGCACTTACTGTATTCTTTACACTACAGTTATATTCAATACGCATCCATGATTTTGCTGCAAAAAGACATTCAATTTCAGGTTTCAGGGGGTTCATGGTCTACCAAAAGAAATTTGTTAATAAGTTTTCTTTTAAAATTGGACAGCTGAACTGTGAGGAGAGTAATGACACTTCACTGAACCCATTTTTAAAATCACTTCACT